GAGCACACCCCACTTGAGAGGCTCTGGGAAGGGAGGCGCGAGCCAGGAGACCGGAGACAGACCTGGGAACGGAACCTGCCTTTCCTCCCTGCCCACCTTTGTTGAAAGTTGGGTGAATTCAGACCACAGAAGGCTGCACACAGAAGCCCACTGTGATTGCTACCTGTGCTACCAGGTCAGTGTGACCTGGTGTTTAGGGATTCTTGACCCATAAGCAGATGGGAATAGCTCCCACACAGCCTTAACAGCCGCAGAGGGAAGGGAGGAGCGAGTCTGTCCTTTTTAGCAGCAAACAGGGCAAGCTGGGCACCACTGGGGCTGGCAGGGTACAGCCCCTAGCTGCTCTCTGGGCCTTTCCTACCAATACAGTCCTCTCCTAAGAATCCAGCACCAGTGCACACCTGCTCCTGCCTCCACAGCTGTCCCATCGCAAAACCTCACACAGCTCCCAACAACACAACCCATGGACCCCTACTGTGGGACATGCATCTCTGGGCAGGGAGAAGGGAAATTAATTTACATCCCTACGAGCCCCATAGGTACATCTCCTCCTCTCTAAGAGTTTGCTCTCCTATTTAACCTCTTCAGCTGCTGGCGCCCGAGGCAGATGATGCTGTTTGCAGAGGTGCAGGCACTTCACTCTCCCCCTCCCCCTGGAATCTTCCTCTCGCTTGTGGTCCTTGGGATTCACCCAATGTTTCTCAGAAAAAAAAAGAGGACCTCAAGACAAGTATGCATTTAATAAGCAGTGAGACAAATAAGCTCCAGTTATCCCAGCAGAATTACAACACCAGAGAACAATTTTCTGCATTCCTCTGAAGGCCTGAAGGAACCCAATTGCCTGCTCTCAGCCTAAATAGGTACCAGACACCAAGTGCTCCATAAGCAAACAGAGCCCCCAAAGTGCAAAAATGAAATAAGTAAAAAGCTTCACATTACATATAAACCAGCCGTTTGCACCTTGTTATTAATGGTCTTGACTTTGACCTTTAAACCCTGCCTTGCTCAGAGCCATGGATCTACGAGCCTTGGCACCCTCACAACAATTCCAGGACGAGGAGCAGGGAATAAACAACCCTGGCCAGCGCCGGAGGAGATGCGGGAAGGGAACCGGCCTGTGACAAACCCGGACCAAGAAGCACTCCAGAGCAGCAGCCGGGGCTGAGAGGTGACCATCTCCACTATGAATCTGTCAACACAACCTCGGTGACCGGAGCTTCTGACAGCATGAAAAGTCCTGTTGCCCCATGTGGACATGTGTAAAAGCATCTGTCCCCAGTTTCAAAGGACAAGGGGCTCACGGCATGGCAAATAACGGCAAGAGGGCTCTTTCCCCAAAGGATAATCCCCATGTGGTTTATAAACCCACCTGAACCAGAGTTGCCTTGGGCAGACCCCGTTACCCAGAAACATTTCTTAGTCCAAACTGCCTCACTGCTGCTCTAAGAGTTTAATTATGATGATAGCACCAACAGCCAGTGGAAAGTTTCACCCTTTGAAAGCTGTTGAGTACAAAGCCGTCATCTCTTGAAGAGACAACCCGGCAGCTGGAGAGGCTCTGGGGACACGGGCACGCTCGGCCAGCTCTCACGGCCTCCCCCAGGCAGCTGGCACCGGCCGCTGCAGAGCCTTGGTACCACCCCAGACCCTCTGGATACGCTGGACTGAAACCATCCTACTGGTACGAAGGGCCGGCTCCAGACAGAAGCCGTGGCACTCACTCTTTAAACTGGGCAATTCCTCAGATGAAGAGGGTATACAGGAATGGCACACTGGATGGACATTCATCAGGCTCAAAGGGTTAGTGTGTCTAAATGACATCAAATGACCAACAGCATTTAGGTACTAACCCCCAAATACTCCATTTGAAGTCAGCCAACATTAGGAAGTTCTGTTGCAATAACAAGATCCCAAATGATGCTTGTGGCATCTCTCCAGATGCACATGCAGTAAAAGTCCTGATCCACCAACATCTTTAGACACTTTTCATTAAAATCAGTGGTAAGACCCTTCCCTTCCTGTCCTTTTCAGAGATTACTTCTGGAAAATGATGAGGCTGGCAGGGAGAAATGCAGCATTCCTCTGCCTGGACATTCTGATCAAAATCTAATCTGTTAGGACACAGTGAGACACTGCGAGAAACAGGGAAAAAAAAACAAAAAACAACACAACAACAACAAACCAAACCCACTCCAAACACAAGGAAAAAAAAAAAAACCAAAAACACAACAACAACAAACCGAACCCACTCCAAACACAAATCCTGCCTAAATGGATCAGAGAGACTATAATTACCCTGGTTTACAGATACACGTATTAGCATCAGGTATATAAAAAAATGCTGATTTTCAAGTTCCTCCACTTTCACTGGCTACTCTGAAATGAAAATCTGAGCAGTCTACTGCCACTACCCACAGCCTGGTGGGAAGGTCACCCTGGTGCGTGTTTCGGGGAAACGGCACCGTTCGATGCTCACCTGTCCTAACTGTCATTTTTTAACACATGGATACATGCAAGCAACTTCACTGCATGTGGCCTGATACGGTATTACTATGGTATGGATCAGGTGGTAAGCCCTTGCTCCTAAATGGCAAAGGAATGTTCCTATAAAGCATGAACAATCCTGCTAGGAAATCACAGAGAGCTCCTCCTTCCTCAAGAATTACTGGCACTTCTAGAGAGACAGGAAGATTTTCATTACATCGCCTGTTGCCAGCTACACTTTCAGCACAAGCCCACCCCCTTGCTGTTGCTGTTATGTCAGGGGAGGACAGTGAAAGAAAGCAGCTCTTGGGATGATACATGGGAGGCAGTGCTTCATTTATAACCCCACACAAACGCTGGAAAATGTTCAACTTTAAAAAGCATTAGGTTGGTTACCTTATGGGCCCCTGCGGACCAAGAAGCGAAATCACATGAACACAACATCCCTATTAATCACCTCAATGATTCCACAGTGAGAAACAGCCTCAGTGCCATACAGTCAACTGGAAAGAAAGTTGAGAAAATTACCTATACAGTCAACTGGAAAGAAAGTTGAGAAAATTACCTACTGGCAGTCAGGTAACTCAAAAAAATTTGGTAGTACCATTCTGCAGAGCTCCCCTCTTGACTCCTCAATGAATTAAAGTATTTAACTTGGATTAAAGCTCAGTCAATAGAAATACACAGTGGAGAGTAACGATGGCATTTCTACCTAAACACGTGTGTTTTCTCTCAGTGCAGTTACAAATAAGCTACACTTGCATGAGACGCATAGGGACTGTCCACTTCATAGTACTTTACAGGTACAAGGTAAGGAAGGATTTGGGGAAAAAAAAATATAAAAATAACAACATTCTCAGTCTTCTGCATCAAGATAGATTATAGGTCAACTCAAAATGACCTGCAATTGATTGATTTAGGTATTTTTTCAGAGAACAGAGTAGGCTACAGCAAGCTCTTTCCATTCAGGATTCAGAAACTAGAATAATTTACACCACCTTTGAAAGAAGCCACCAATGTCACAACTTACATCAATCCTTCAGAAAGATCAGTAAAGAGTAACCATGTAAAATCTCCCTAGCTATTATGGGTAAGTATATGTGTTTATTTGTAAAATCTAACATGATGGACAACTTTTCATGTGCTCAGAATTAGTATTTATCCACAGTCTGCTATTTTTACCACTTCCATTCTTAAGCAGCCCTGGCTAACATGACTCTGCTTCCTCAACACCAAGCAGCAGACCTGAAGGTGAAGAAGTAGACATCCTCTCTAATGGGGAGAGTGGAAATGGAGGTCACACCAATTACCTCAAACCACTTGGCTGCCACAGCCATCTTTTCACCTCTGCAGCAAACAAAGCCCTGTGGCTGGTCCGTACACGAAGCAATCCCTTTGAGGAGTGCTCTGCATCTCAGTTCAGTTCAAGCCTTGATATCAACAACGACAGTACTTTGGACTAACACTTCAACGTTCAGGTCTCCCAAGAAGACCCCCATGCAGACATCACAACCACTTTTGGCAGTTTCTGAAACCATCCTGTTCTTCAAGGCAAAGCGCTTTGAAAGACAAAATGCACAATTAAATCTGAAGAAGTAACAAAATGAAATAAAGGAGTATGTGCCACCGTTTCCTTGCGTAGTGCAAGCTTATAAGATACAGAAGAAACAAATCTTTGTTTGCACACCATAATCTGTATTACACAGACACTTAAGTAGTCAACAAATTCAATGTGTTAAGAAACAACCTTTTAATAAAGAAAGCAGAACCATACTTTGCTGTTAACAAATATTTTGAAAAAGGCTTACAATATTAAATCTAAGCCAATTATCTGGTGCATCTGCAGCTGAGAAGGAAGTGTTGATATTCCAAACATCTGCTCAGTTTATGTCCTCTCCTTTCTTACAGGGGAAGCAATAGCTTCCAGTTCTCCAACTGATTAAGAGAGCAGTAAGTTATTGCTCAACAAAAACTTTATTCTTAAATTCGGACTAAGGCCGAAGAAGAAATTCATACGTTAAGCACCATTACCAACATGGAAGCCTGTCAAAGACACCAGCTTTCTTCCTTGTCCCCCACATCCCGGGGCCAGCTAACCGTTGGGGGTCAGGCTTGTGAGAACAGCGAAATCGAACCATCGTGGAAAGCACGCTCCAGTCACGCTGGAGTCGGCTGATGCCACAGACTGGACAGCAGGGAGGACCTCCATGTTTTCCATACTGAAGCCGAAAGGTGAAAGAAGAGTCCCGCAGCACTAGAAGAAACAACACAACACCAACAAAAAATTAGCTCAGCTTCAAAACCAATGTCCTCTTACAGGCTCAAGGTATGAACAAAAACCCACCCTGCATCCTTCCCTCAAGACAACAGAGCTACGACCCCCTCAATGCTGATGCCATGAAACAGGCTTGTAGTAAACATTCAGCATTAGCCACGACACACAAAAGAATTCAAAACCCTCCGGAAGCCACAGCTCCAGCCTTGTGCACTCACCCCGTGTCCCCGGCGCAGCCCGCTCAGCCGGAGGCCAGGACGCTGGGAGCACTCACTGGCCACAGCACCCGCAGCACCTGGGCAGAGGCAGGAGGGGTTAGGATGGCGTTTCGCTGTGCCACGGCTCTTCCAGCTGCTCCGACACCGCGCCTTCGGTGTGGAACACACTGGGGAGGAGGGCAGCGTATTTTCTCGGGCATTCAGGCACGCGTTATTTACAGATCATGGACTCAAACCTACGAAAACTGAACAGACCAACCAGCAAGACCAGCCTGTGCTTCCAGACAGGATCCATATTCTAGATGCCATCTAAACAGTTCCAGAAATAAAGATTAGGCTAAAACAAACGGTGCGAACTGCCCTGCACCTCCTCAACCCACCCCCCAAGTACTCTGCTGGGACTCGCGTTATCCTCGTACAAACCCTCCTTCCACAAGGCAGCAATGACAGGGCTCATTTACTTTGAGGGTTTTACTTTGGCCCTCCTGGCTTCTATCATAACCTCAAATATTACATTAAAAAGGCTTTTAAAACATAACATTGGCAGCAGCGCAGGAGCTTTCCATTGCAGCGAGCTTCTTCCCGGCCTGTTTGCGTGTGGCACCTTCACATTAAGTGCATGAGTTAAGATGTAGATTAGCAAGGCAAGAAACCTTTGCCCTTGGCATCGACACTCAGCTGTGACAGGAAACTTCAGGCTTTTTTTTTTTCTACCAAGCATAGAACCACTCATTACACATTGGCAGGGAAGTGCACATCTCCAAACTATACACATTTTCTCTTAGATAAGCAAAAGACTCAAGTGTTTATAAATATGAAAAGTTCAGCAGCTGGCTAAAAAGTTAATTCTCCAGTCTCACTTAATGAGCTTTGGGGAAAGTGGTAGGGGGATTTGTTCGGAAAGTAAAGCAGAGTGTCACAGAAGGCAGGACTTGCCAGACAGGGCTCTGTTGAGCCCTATTTTCTGTCTCTCCACAGCTGTTATCAGCAGCGTGGCAAGGAATCCTCTACCAGGGGGCTACAGAACAACCAGAACGAGTTGTGTGTTCTTCTGATCTCACAATCATAAAAATTAGCCCATCTTTAATTTAAGTGCCATGACTTCTTTCTGTGTTATGAAAAAATCAAGTAATCCATATCAAAACACTTTGGAACATGGACTGTCTTAGGATTCTGTCCAGTTCCCT